AAGTGTAAGCAGTTCCTACTGAAGCCAGACATATAGTTTCAGAATTGTAAGCAGTTCCTACTGAAACCAGACATACAGTTTCAGAAGTGTAAGCAGTTCCTACTGAAGCCAGACATATAGTTTCAGAAGTGTAAGCAGTTCCTACTGAAGCTAGCCATACAGTTTCAGAAGTGTAAGCAGTTCCTACTGAAGCCAGACATATAGTTTCAGAAGTGTAAGTAGTTCCTACTGAAGCCAGACATATAGTTTCAGAATTGTAAGCAGTTCCTACTGAAGCCAGCCATATAGTTTCAGAAGTGTAAGCAGTTCCTACCGAAGCAAGCCATATAGTTTATTTGGAAATTAAGCCAATAGTAGTTTACCGATGTTGAAATCTCATAAATCGACCAAGAAAACAAACAAACAAACAAACAAACAAACAAACAAACAAACAAACAAACAAACAAACAAACAAACAAATAAACAAACAAAAAACTGAGGGAAAACCATTAGAGCTATTTTCCTAATTTTTGCTTGTAGTTTAAAGGTTTGGTTGGCTTGTTTGCTTTGCTTGTATAAATGTTTGCTCAAGCATTGTAGTTAAGATTGACATCTGCAATCAATAGATAGGCGGGGCTTAAGCTTGTATACATTATACTCTGCATTATACTTAACAGCCAATAACATTTAAGTATAAGTATTAGTATAATGTATACAAATTGAAGCCCCACCTATCTATTGATTGCATATGTCAATCTTAATTACAATGTTTGAGCAAACATTTATACAAACCAAAGCAAGCAAGCTAACCAAACCTTTAAACTACAAGCATTAGGAAAATAGTTCTAAATGGTGTTTTTGTTGTATACAAAGTATATTTGACATTTTTATACAAACAAAGCAAGCAAGCCAACCAAACCTTTAAACTACAAGCATTAGGAAAATAGCTCTAACTCCAAAGGAACGACAAAATATATGACATGTAAACAAATACTGGGTTTAACTTTTCCATGTACAGTCAGTGTCGTCTCAAAATTTTGAAATCAGTATGGATATTAATTGCGAGATGGGAAAATCTGAATGTTATGTATGTGACGTAGTTTTTTTTCAAATAGTCACCAGTTTAAAGATTGCATATATCGTATTTATTTATCTCGCAAAATTATTGATTCAAAAGCCACTACAAAAGTACGTAATGACACCATTTTCCTACAGTGAATCTGTGTCGGTTATATATTTTAAGCATATCACATTTTTTTCGCTTTTTATGTTGTAAGTAACAGGGACTCCTTTATAACCTGGAAACTCTGTCAAGTTAACTTTATTGGTGTTTGGTTTCAATATTTGTTGTCATCCGCAGCTAAGTAATAAATAGCGTGTAATATGGGATGCTTAAACGAAAAGTCGATTCTTGAATCTTGGTAGGATAAAACGGTATACTATATAGTTGCCAAGCTATTGTTTTAAGTTGCAATTGGACCCATAAAAGCAAATTCTATAAATACAAGTATAAATAAGAATGAAATTTTCCCAAAATATGAATGTTGTACGCTGATGTCAGTTCAAATATTATAAGTTTCGTTACCAATCGAAGATATCAGATTTATAATTTAGTATGCCAATCTCGCGTATAGACTACAAAAGACTCATCAGTGGCGCTTGTATAAAAAATTACAGTATCAATAATATTTCATACCAGCCCAAGAACCATATATACCTACTGGTTATAGGCGATTATTGGTGTAAAAACACCAGTCGAAATCGTAGTTATAAATTCATACACATGTTTTATTTTTAAATTAGTATGCAATATTTTCAATTGATTTAAACAAACAAAAGAGGCAGACGTAACCAGAGGGACAATCAAAAGTCGAAGAAAATAAGACACTACCAGGGCAAAAAAGAAAAACCACGAAAGAAAAAAAAAATAATAAACACTTATACACTTTTGTTTCACATTATTCTGCTAATACCCCATAAAAATATTCTTAAAATTTCTAAGCCGATTTATATAAACCCACGATTGGTGAACTTATTTTACAACAAATATGTGGTTCGCTTGATATCAATTAATCCAATTACAATCTCAAATTTTCTCTCTTTCCTTTGATATCCCTATTTTGAAATTACGTAACATGAAAAGTGCATAATTATATATACCAAAAATAGATTGACACACAACTTTAATGAAAAAAACAAGTGTCTTGAAAACAAACAGAAAAATACACAATAAATCTCGTTTCCTAACTTTGTGTTTGGTTTTTATTTTTTTTTATTTTTTTGAGAAAAAAACACAGTAGAACATGAAAATGTAAAAATTGATAAGTACATTCGTTTTCCTGCCAAATCAGTATCATAATGTAGAACAAGATTTGCAATTGTTATTGCATCGAAAGATATAATTATGACCGACAGATATATTAATTATGAGTACTTGTGCTACAGTCTATACGCACGCTCTGAAGAGGAAATTTTACACATTGTGAAGTATACATTGTTAGTCGATTAAACATTGATACATTCACGTAAGAACGCGGCATCGAAAAGGATCGCATGTTCTGAAGAAAGTGCTTTGTAAGTGGGAGTTCCACATACCAAAAACAACAATCTTATTACTTGTATATCGGAATTTCTTTTCAAATGATGTCACTATCGTGAGAAATAGTTCTCTGTCAAACCGCCGACACAAAAAACTGCAAAGATAATTTAATTAATTCATTTTACATGACTGCAAACATTAGTTAAACATGTTAAATCAGTTGTTTTTATCAACTGATTTAAATTAGAAACTCATTATAGAGTATGACCCTCTTCCATATGAAGCACAAGGGCATATATGATATTGTTGTTGGGAAGAGGGTGGACCACTCGTGTCCAAAAGTACATTTAAAATGTTCAAAAAGTCCGATAAGGTGGTAAAATCATTAAGATAACGACAAAAGATAAAAACTAAACACCTAGTAGGGTTGACCATGGGCATTTTATTGAAAGTATATTGCAGTTGCTTTATTTTCAATAGGCGACAATAGTACAGACTTCGGGAAGTTTGTTTTTGAACGAAACTATGTTAGAAATAAAGGACAAGATATTCGGCCATATTCATTTAAAGCTAAAACCAAAGGGTCCCCGTTGCTTTTCTTTATACAACAAACTTTTAGGTATCTGTGGACCTGGTTGTCTGTCCATTCTACATTTGAAATTACATGTCTCGTCGCAGTTCAGAAAAGACGCCTTAGATCCTTTAGGGCAAAGAAAAATGTATCATCTTTTCGCCTTTGGTATATCCCTCTTATGGGTGTAATTTGTGCTTTTAAAGTTAATTATCATGTGTTCACAACGGTCAATCAGGATTAGACCCTCCCTTAATTCTGAATATCATGTTATCGTCACTCCTATGGCTGAGCCCATTAACTTAATGGTGTATTGAACCCTGTCGAGCACGTGCAGTCATGTATGTTGCGTTTTATTGGGACATACAATTTCATTTGAAAACACCACGTGATTGTTGTCGTCTGCCAATCAAGATAATGGAATCTATGTTATTCAATTATGAATATATAAATAAATACGATGATATAATCTTGACACCATCAGGAATTGATTGACCGATACGATGTGTCGGTGTCTCAACTCACTAACGACATGTTTTCGCGGTCTCAGATTATAAGATACCAGATTAGTGGTTTGAAATTAAACCGATTATGTCCTATCTCCGATTGTGAATTCGCATGCCATGGTAAGCTGATTCATGCAAAAAACGCTTACCCTGTCGATGCCACCGGTCTCGCTCCTTTTGGAGTTCCTTCAGTGTTTCGTTTTTTTACTTTGATTGGTCTTTTCCTAATCGATTTACACAATTTGAACGTTGGTAAACTACTGTTGCCTTAATTTACGACTCGTAACTATATATAAATGCAAAAATCTAAAACTGGGCTGTTTTGGCAGTTTTGCATTAAACGTAAGAAGTGTAAACCCTAAAGGAAATATATAAGACTTAATTGAAAATAAATAGAAATACTGATAGCTGGTCCAGCTAGTCGACTCTTTCTTGTACTTGCTCCTGAAGCCAAATGATCATAGCCGCTCAAAGAGAAAAGAATGAAAAATCTAGCACAATCCCTTATTTTACTTTCAGGTATTCTGATGATGTCCTGTAACTAAAAGAATCCTTTCTTTACATGCCAACTTGAAATTAAGGAGACCAGAAGGTTTGATTCATATCTATAACATTTTCTTGTAATTGATGCATATAGTTTAAACCTGAACATATTATCACACAGACTAATCCATCATGGTTATGAGAAAGGACGACTAAAAAGTGGCGTAGGAGTAGACTAAAAAAGTTTGGAGGGCGGCAAACTTTTCACTCTAAAATTGATGTCGCATTTGTTAGAATTCTGTATTATATTACTTTAGCTTACAGTTATCATATAGATACCTGAAATTATCTCTAAGTATTCTATATCCAAAGGTGTTAAGAGATATGCACAGAACCTCCTTTTTCCCTGGGTAGCTGCCGGATAACTCCCCGGTATCCTATTTAAGATACCTGGGTTTATGTTAATTGAGCATACTTTACTGATTTCCTGTAATAGTCAGCTTGTTTGTTATCGTCTGCCAGTTACATTTTCAATTTTCAAATGAGATAAAGACATTCCAATGAAATAAGCTAATTCATATGCCAAAACCATGAAAGATACAAGTGGTTTGCGAAGTTTTTCTATTTCCAGCGTCTTACATATGCAAACATAAATTTGAAATGATATATAGTACCGTTGTGCATATCTTTAGACTTGTATATATGTACGAGATATATTCTTTATGAGAAATCACAACAACAACAAATAGCAATATAAGCAATTACAAATTGTATATGGCATGCTCAAATCATATATATGCTCTAACAAATAAGGATTCTAAGTAAATGCAGTTTTATATGATGTCTATCCACATTTTCTTTGCTATATACCAGAACAAGCAGCGACAGCAAACATAATTTGTAAATTTTTAAACATACTTACTTTTAAATACCAATTAAAAGTTGTTATTGGAAATCCAGAAGCCCCTTTTATTGTAAAAGCATTCAAGTATTGTCAAGTTAATGTCAAATTTAAAGCAAATCACATTTAAATGGTGAACTCGAGCATAGTAGAAAATTTACTCTCCTCATCTCCTTGAAAATTGGCTGAAAGTTTTACTTTAGAATTTGACCCTCGGTATTTATCCAAGCTAAATTTTGCTACCCAGACAGGACCTCCCCGGTTTTCAAAATGGAACCACTCTTCATCAACAACGACGGCTACTCCATTGGCATGGGGTACATTGACGCGCCAGTTGATGTTCGTCAGATTGCTGTTGGAGTGCAAGACTAGTGGCTCATGTAGAAAGCATCCGTCCTTCCATTGAGCATAGTGCTTTGGAAACGGATGGACCGTCTGGGCTGCGGTTGTACAACGAATCAGATAGTTGAATACGTTTGGAAGAGATTTACTTTCATCGGCTGATGGCAGTGCATACAACTGAAGTTTATAATAGCCTGTTTCTGGCATATGAACCAATACATGGATTATGCCTTCTTTCATCTGAGCAAAGACATATTCTGAATATTCCTTTTCAGAGATGCAGTGGATAAGTTGGTATGTAAATTTGATATGTGTCATCGACGACCCTATTTCAATTTTCAAATGATTATCCCGTGCAATAATCTCTGGATTCGGATGTGTCATGGATTTAAGTCCAAGTTCATTCCATTTTTCCTGGGGCCCAAGGTAGCCTTCGGGGATTTCTGGCTTTCTTCCGGCCATTTTGTTACTTGAACGTACTTAGTCTATCTTTAGGTTGTCTTCCAAGTAAGAAAAAGTCAAATAACAATCCAGAAATATGTATGCGACGACACAGCTAGTGGTAACCAATAGCCTGTTATGTTAGCAACGATTCTATCGTAATTTTCTGCAAGTTTCGTTCTAGCATGGAAAAAGCTAAACTAAGATGATAGATAGAAGCTTGTCAGAAACAATCTAAAATTATACCACATACGTATTTATTGGTTTCTTGTTTGTGGGAGATATATGTTCTTTTACTTGATGCTTTATCTATTGTTGTCTTCTAATCGTCATTAATTAATATCCTGTAGGAGACGTGAAGTTCATTAAATATTCAATTTCCTATGTTGATAAATAAAAGTAAAACGTAAATACACTGAATTCAGCTTGTATAATTTATTATTAGATATTTCTTATAATACTTGGTTTTTATGTTTCTTACATTTAGCGAGTTAATGTAGTTGTTTATGTATGTTTACATCATCATCGCAAACAATTATTTCCTTATCAAATACAATAATTGAATTACATCTAGGTATTGAAGTACAAAACAATCTGAATATCTTCGCATCTTTTAAAATATAACCATTCTGAATCACAGTAGTTCAGCCCAGTTTATAAGTGGTTTCGTATGTGTTTCTTCATCAATAGACTTTCGTTTTATGTATCGTTCATTTTTTGTGTTTTCATCTTTTATTTTAGCATTTGTGCATGTTGACTGTTCTTTAATTATGATTTTAGTCCTCGATTCGTTAATCATTTACGCCTTTCTTTGTTTTCATAACTCTTGATATTGAAATTCGGGATTATCACGGAGACATTATACAATTTTAGCTTTGATTTATACATCCTTATTGAAATTCATTCAACTAATCTTTCTTATGCGCGATTTAATTGATAAAAGGGTAAAGTTATTACCATGGCTGCCACGTCCGGTCTGTGTTTTTGTTTGATGTTTTTTCTGCTTTGTGTCGATCTGATGAGTTAAACCTTTTTCAACTGATTTTTATAGTTTGTTCTTATGTTGTGCTGTTACACTACTGTCCCAGGTTAGGGAGAGGTATGAGCGCTTACAAACATGTTTAACCCCGCCACATTCTGTGTGAGCCTGTCCCAGGTCAGGAGCCTGTAGTTCAGTGGTTATCGTTGGTTCATGTCTGTCATTTTTGTTTTTCGTAAATTGTTTTGTTATAGATTAGGCCGTTAGTTTTCTCAATTGAAATATTTCATATTTTTCATCGGGGCCTTTTATAGACCACTATACCTTATGGGTTTCGCTCATTGTTGAAGGCCGTACTGTTGCCTATAATTGCTTACACCCACTTTATTTGAACTTTAGCGGATACTTGTCTCATTGGCCATCATACCACATCTACTTGATTTTAATATAAAATCTTTTGGTAATTTCTAAAAAGATATTTTGGTAGTTTCTATTTAATTGACATCATAACAAACTTTACATATTTTTTCTGACATTTATCAAGATTAGAGTCACTGCTGTATGTTATTGATGTATACGTCATAAAAATATAAAGATACTTAACAATAATGGGACTAGTTTACACTTGAATCGAATTTTCGATTTTCATGTGAAAGCGGCTTGGCACGAGGTTGACATTTCTTCTCTGTTTTATTAATATAACACATCATTTTAAATGCCTAAAACACCTAAAATGTTTTTTCTTCTTTAAATAATCATTCAATAAACGTGAGTACAACGTAAATTAGTCGAATATTCTTGTGGACGATACATATAATATGATTTTTAAAGATATACTATCAATAATTGTAATTTATTTTAGTTTTTTTTTTAATTCAGGTTATGACTGATTTATACAGTTTCTTCTTAAAAGTTTTGCTGTTATTCTACTGTCCCGGGTTAAGGGTGGACCGAGAGCTCACACTTAATTATAAAGTTAAAAGGATTAACCTCACTATATTCTTTGCCTTTCTTAAGCCAGGAGCATGTTATTCAGTCGTTGACATTGGTTGCTGTCTGTCATACTTGTTTATCGTTTTTGTTTTGTCCTAAATTAGGCCTTTAGTTCTCTCATTTGAATTGTTTCACATTTTTTCATGTCGATATATCTTTTATATTTGACTATACGATATAATGTTTGTTCATTGATGAAGGCTATAGTCCCGTACAATGACATAGAGTTGCTAACATTCATGTCATTTGGACTCTCTCGGACAATCTTTTCATTGGCAATGATTCCATCTCCATATGTTTATATTTATGGCCTAGTTTTGAAATAAAAAACCACTACTTGAGATGTTAAAAACTTCCGTTTCTCTATGATGGCTTAGAATGAGTAAAATATGATGCAAATGTTGTTCTGATATTGCATAAAGTTTCAAACACATTAACCTTTGTGAGGTTTTTGGTCTCTCGTAATTAACAATTATCAGTAATTACAGCAAATACATTAAAAAATATCTGAATTTCATAATTTAAATGAAAATTTAAAATTAGAGTTTAACTTACCATCGTAAATTATCACTTCTTCGGAAATTTGAAATGTGTTGCTCTGACTCTGTGATCTCATTTTGCAGACATTAATCGTTCCGATGATTGGTTCATAATTGCAGAGTTCCAATTCATGAACACTTTATTCACATTGTAATAAGTATGGTACACAAATGCATATACAATTTTGCAATAAATATTATAATACCGATTTCCATGCGAACGAGAATTGTCTCTAAGTCAAGCTTCACTAGGTACTCTGGAGACAAAACAAGTGGCACCAACCCGACATGTCATATAGCAACAATATCATGTATACAAGGAATTCGCAGTCTAATTTTGTGTTCAAAAAGCAAGTTAGTTTTGAAATTCATTTACACTAAAAAATGTAAACAGCACTTTATAATTGCATGCGTCCGACGCGATTTTCTGAATTTACCTCATTGCCGAATATTTTAAAAAGACAATGATGTAGAAGAACCGAAACAGGGTTCTTTTCTGAAAGACTTTAATAATTAGAACTTTACATTAATTCTATCAATCAAGATTGTAACTAATTTCTTTTCACAAAATAGATTGAAGTTTGCGCAAAATCGTGTTGAAAAACAATTTTATGACGTAGGTTTTCTGATATTCTTGTAGGTTAAATGGTAAATATTAGATCTTAAGGTGGCTCGGGTGTCTTCCTCCATCTTGGATTTCGAAGAAGCAGATAACGTTGGTCTAGATATTTCATGAAATGTGTAAATTTTGAGATTAGTATGTAATTTATTTTAAAGACTTTTGATGTAAATATAGAAAATTGTGTGTTATATCATAATTACGGCTGTAATTTCTCAAAAACACCTTATTTGTGTTTGATTAGATTTTTTTTTTTAATTTGCCAAATAAGGGGAGATAACTCAGATAAAGTAATTTTTATAATAGAAAGTGTTGTGAATTAACCTATTTTGATATGTAGCAAGAAAACAAGTTCGGTGACCCCATTTTTTCTTTTTCTTATCTGAAAGCATCTTATAAGAGCTATCTTCTCACATTTTATCTTAAAGTTCTATCAAGTAGTTTTCTTTTTATCACACAAAATTTGATTTTCCATGCATAATCTATACAAAATCTGACAATTTTGCACAACCTCTAGCGTGAAAAAAAGTTCGGTGACCCATACTTTTTGTTATATTTTTGAAAAAAGCATGATAAAAACTTCATTTTAACAAATTATCAAAAAATTCTATCAATTTTAATTAAGACGCCCTAGCCACCTTAAGCAGACAGTAATTTTATATCGGCAGATTAAATACTTTAATCTATATGTAGCTTTCATCAAATTTTCATTCACCTCTGTGATACCGATAGTATTGTATTACTGTGATATATATGTGAAATTACAATATGTTGTTAATAAGTTTAGATGGGAGATAACCTAAAACATTATTCTTTTGAATATAGAAGACTTTTCGAAAGAAAAATTGATTAACTCCCATGGAAACTTCCTAAAAACGTATTGTAATTTCACTGAATATGAAATGTTTTGATTCAAATGATGTCTGATGCTTATGAATAAAGAAGACTTTTCGAAAGAAAAATTGTATAAAAGCTTAGTTTGGACATTTTTATAGCAATTCAAAATTACTACCTATCACCTTTAGCATGACAATAACAATAAAATTTCTATACAAACTGTTAGACTGATTTTTCATAATATCATTGAAGTGGAATTTAAGTCTTGTAGTAGTCCGAGATTACTCTGACGCCCAACGGCTGTTTTTGACTTGATTGTGGTTTTCTATAGCAGTTTGTTCAAATTTCTGACCAGTTGAGCAGTTTGGTTTTATAAAACAAATAGCAATTTGGTCAGAATTTTTAATAAGTTGCAATAGATGGAGAGCAACACTAACAGTCAAGTCACAGTAAATGCTTCTTCAGATATGATTTTTACATTGCGTTTTTGTACAATTTGTTAATCCACTACAAATTACCTTAATTCTATAATACAGGGTAAATGATATCACATTCTAATTCTGGAACTAAAATCTAAATTTGTTTTTAATAAACACTTTTTGAGATCTATAAACATTTGGTTGGTTACTTAAAATAAACAAGTCTCATTAAACGTGATATCTGTTATTACTGATTCTTTTTATTGATTTTCTTATAAATAACAATTTTTGCCTTTTCATGATAATGATTTAATTTGATTTATCATGAATTCAAACAAATATCGAATATAGCCATCCTGTATTTTTTCAGATTTCAATCATTTTCTTATCAAAGCGCGATAAGCATGAAATTAGATAAGAACTGAAATACTTCCTAACGTTAGCTGAGGGTCGAAGTAGTAATTAGTGAATAATCTAAAAACTCGATAACATATGATAGTTATTATGGCTTAACTATTTATATATAGATATAAGAAGATGTGGTATGAGTGCCAATGAGACAACTTTCCATCTAAGTCACAATTTATAAAAGTAAACCATTATAGGTCAAAGTACGGTCTTCAACACGGAGCCTTGGCTCACACCGCACAGCAAGCTATAAAGGGCCCCAAAAATTACTAGTGAAAAACTATTCAAACGGGAAAACCAACGGTCTAATCTATATAAAATAGGAGAAACGAGAAACACTCATGAACCACATCAACAAACGACAACTACTGAACATCAGATTCCTGACTTAGGACAGGTGCAAACAATTGCAGCGGGTTTAAACGTTTTAATGGTACCAAACCTTCACCCTTATCTGAAACAATAGTGTAACATCACACTATAAAATATCAATTGAAATGGCTTAACTCAATCAAAAGACATATTAACACAAGTGAACATACACTGAACGAATAAATTTGATCTATGATACAATGTAAATACAAAATCAATAAAATAAGGGATGAAATATAGTCAGCTTATATTTAGTTTCCTTTGAAATTTCGGATTTTTTTTTATCTGGTTATGTTTCAGGTGTAGTAATATTATTATTAAGAAATGTTTCATTGCCATTATTGCAAAGAATTATAGACTAAGCACCATTCATAAGACATATTCAATCCTACAAATACTGAACAATTAGAAAAACTGAGTAAATTGATTAAAATTATTAATAAGGAAGTATGTCCTCCTAGTTAACCTATTTAACTTACATGTAGTATTTCACACATGCATGTAGTTTGTCCATTTATGTATTTATATATATGTACCATTCTTTGTAACTTTGTATTTAGTTTATGAGAATAAAAGATTCAGAAGAACAAATACCTTTTTAGTGACATGGTTTGCCAACAACCCCGATTGCCAAGACCTTAAAAAAAGAACACAATGTAGTTTTAAAAAGATAGAACATCTTCCATCTCTATATTCTATACATTAAGCCAACAAGGCTTCGGCTTGGTTATTTTTGAACTTAAAACTTTATATATGCGCTTAAATCAAAACATTTTGTAGGCCAAATAAATTACTAAAAAGAGCATTAAGCCCAAAGTTTCAAAAAAAGTTATGCGAGAAGTGGCTAAGTCCATCTATGCCTGGGGTAGAAACATTCTAGTGTTTTGAATGATATTTACGTTTAATGAACAGTAAATTCACAGAAAATTAGTTTAAAAAAAGATCAAAGCTGACTACTGGGATTGTGATGAAACGTTCACCAGTAATGGCATCGACCCAGTGGTTTTTAAAAACTCATCAGAGATGAATATACGCTTGACACGTTTCGTCTACATAAGACTAGTTATCCTTTTCTAATTTGTATGTATCAAGGTATAAGTTTGACAACTGTGTTATTTTTGAAATATCATTCCAATTCAATTTAAAGCTGTCATTTCCAAAGCAATATTTCAAGGAATTGACCTTTTTTTGCTCGTGGTTTTGCTCTATAAAGAAATTGATAAGGGTTATGGTGTCGTTTTACTATTTTTTTAAAAAATCTTTACATCTAGATAGTTGGGTTAAAAATTACGAAGATACCAAGTGGGCAATATCAATCATATGTAGAATTAGCCTAATATTAACTTAGTGACCAGAACTTCGGTACTAGCATGAAATTCGGATATTGTTCTATTTGAATTTTCTGTAATAAGTACCCGTCTTTGTAAAAATCATGCAGAGGGTGATTCATGACATGTCACAGAAGTAATTTTTTTGGCCCTATATCATAAGAACTTTGGTAGATACGTAAAATTCTATCTTTATTTTCCCTGTATATTGCCAGTTGCCATGGTAACCATCAAAACAACATTTTGCCTGAATATGTGAAAAAAGACCCTTTTGAAAATTTAAAATAAGGGAATTTAAAGTCCCATGGAAATTAAGTTAATCAATAAAAACAATATGTATATTTACAGTATTGACAAACAAAGCCCCAAACTATACAAAAACGTTAAAATTTTGAATTTACTACATAGTTTGTTTCCATAGCAACCATTTAAAAATGTGTTAAAATACGAAAATGAAAAATTTCAAAAACTCCTAAATTTTAAATCTGTTTATCTCCCAAGACCAACAATACCATGACATTTCATTGACAAATTTTGATATATTCATAAAATAAAAAGAAAGTCGTGTGTTTTATTTTTCTTTAAAAAAATAATTTTTGTCAAAAATTGTCAATTTTCACCAAAATTCAGATTGCCAAAGAGATGATTAATCAAACATTTTGAACTTAAAAGGCTAAATCATTCCATTTATATGTGCATTTCTGACACAAATTTAGTAATTATAAATGAGAATATATTATTGATAGAGATATGTTGGTAGAGAATGAAACTTTTCACTCTGGGCATGGTGCCCCCCCCCCCCCTTTTTTTTGAAGAAAAATCGTTTTTTCAATTATAAAATTTATCAAAAATTAAATGAAAGATGGTATTAAATTCTGAACATTTTGAGCATTGAAGCATGAAATTTCTTCAAGGGTTAGGCCAATGATAGTACCTCCTTCCCCATTTTTAGATATTAGATTTTTTTCAGAAACGGGGAATGTGTCAAAGAGACAACAATCCAACCAAACAACAGAAAAACAGCCGAAAGGCTGATGACTGAATGAAGGATTGCTGCGCCCTTAAATACATGAAATACACTTGTTTTGCGCAAATTAAAATTTTTAAATGCTATTTCATGGTCTTGAAAATTAGCCTCTGTCTAAGTTTTATTTCAGTCTATGTCAAAAAAACTTAGTCTCAGACTGTCTTTAAATTTTAACTCTAAACAAGAGGCTCTCAAGAGCGTGAGTCGATCACCTGTAATTTTTTGGTTAAATCTTTAATCAATGATTATTTATGCTTTTCAATATATATCAATGAGTGGCTTAAAAATTCCATTTAAATGTTCTTTGTATCCGTCATATTTTCTTAAAAAGCAAAAAAATGCATTTTACCCCTATGTTCCATTTTAGCCATAGTGGCTATGTTTCTTGAATTACAAGGAAATAAAATACAAAATTTATACTAAATACTCCCAAGTTTGGCTGAAATTGATTCAGCAGTTTCAGGAGAAGATTTTTTAAAGTAAGCAAACTAGATGAACAAATTGTGAAAAAAATTCT